CCCATCCCTCCTGGCTTTCAGGAAGAAAGTAAAATCGTGGCTTTGGGACTAGACATTCGATCAGTAGACATAAATTAGCACTTTAGTGGAAATGGATTTATAAAACCCTAAACGGTTCTGGCCCAAGTTACCTATCCGAACGCATCTCTGCCTATGAACCCACCAGGACTTTAAGATCTTCTGGGGAGGCTCTGCTCTCGATCCCGCCTGCATCACAGGCACGTTTGGCGGGGACGAGGGACAGGGCCTTCTCAGTGGTGGCCCCCCGGCTGTGGAACGCCCTTCCCATGGACATTAGATCAGCCCCCTCGTTAATGGTGTTTCGAAGAAGACTGAAGACCTGGCTGTTTGAACAGGCGTTTGGATAAACAGTGCTATGAATATAATGAATATAGGAAAACGGAATTACGGATGACGGGTTGGATCACGATTCTAGTTACGAGATGTTAATGTGTTGTCTATTGATGTGTAATTACTCAGTATATTACGGTGTTAATTGTTTTAAATAGTGTATGTTGTATTGAATTCTTGCTCTTGTTGTTAACCGCGTTGAGTCGCCTACGGGCTGAGAAACTGCGGTATACAAATAAAGTAAATAAATAAAATAAATAAATAAAGGTGATTTACATGAGGATACAATTCTATTTGGTAACAAATGTTTTTATATTGTTTAATTAATGGCTTATGTATTTTATGTATTTATGTATTCACAGGTTTTATATGGAGTTGCACATGTAAGACCCCTTGTTTTATGTTTTGTTTGGAGAAGACAAGACTAAGAAGTGACACGATCACCATCTGAAGGGAATGGCATGTAAGAGATACGTTTCTTGCTGCTCCACTCATTGGGACACAAACAAATATATTCACGTGACAAGAAAAGAGGTTCCATCTTACTAGCAAGAGGAACATCTTGGCTTGGGACTAATCCCTTTGTAACTTCTTCCAGTTCTATCCTTCAATGCAAATGGTCTTGTTTCTACAGACTGGTTGGAGCCATGCTCCAGATTCATTTGACTATACTTCCTACTATTTCCAGTCCAGATGGGGACGATGGGTGAAAAGAAACGCAGGCGGCCTGCCCCATATTTATGTGTACTTGCACGTAAATGTAGATTTTTGTATATGCATATGTATGTGTGCATGTAAAGAGAGGCAGCTGAACAATTTATGCCAATGGGCGCATGTCCCTCTGTGTGCATGTTTACAGATACTTATGTATGTGTGCTGGTTGCAGCTAAACATTAAAAAAAACCAAGATTATGGCATCAAGAATGATTGACAACTGGGAAATAGAGGGAGAAAACATGGAGACTTTGTATTTCTAGGTGCAAGGGTGACTGCAGACGCAGAGTGCAGCCAGGAAATCAGGAGACGCTTACTTCTTGGGAGGAGAGCAGTGCCCAATCTCGATAAAATAGTGAAGAGTAGAGACATCACACTGGCAACAAAGATCCGCATAGTAAAAGCAATGGTATTCCCCGTGGTCACCTATGGATGTGAGAGCTGTACCATAAGGAAGGCTGAGCGAAGGAAGAGAGATGCTTTTGAGCTATGGTGCTGGAGGAAGGTTCTGAGAGTGCCTTGGACTGCGAGAAGATCCAACCAGTCCATACTTCAGGAAATAAAGCCCAGTTGCTCATTGGAGAGAAGGATAGTAGAGGTAAAGATGAAGTACTTTGGCCACATCATGAGAAAACAGGAAATCTTGGAGAAGACAATTATGCTGGGGGAAATGGAAGGAAAAAAGAAGAGGGGCCGACCAAGGGCAAGATGGATGGATGGCATCCTTGAAGTGACTGGATTGACCTTGAAGGAGCTGGGGGTGGTGACAGCTGACAGGGAGCTCTGGCGTGGGCTGGTCCATGAGGTCACGAAGAGTCGGAAATGACTGAATGAATGAACAACAACAAATGTATGTGTGCACCACTAGATCAGTGCATGACTGTGTGTGTGACTTTGAAGGCCCTGTTCAGCCATGAACCCCACTGGATGATGTTGGGCAGGTCACACTCTCTCAGCCACAAAGGAAAGTCAAGGGAACCCTTTTCTCAACAAATCTTGTTATGGAAACAATATGTAGGCATATTAATATAATGTTTTGTTCATTATAATCACACTAGCGTAAATAATCCAGCATTGTGTGCTTTCATGCATTCTTTCCCTTCCTTTCTCTTCCTTCCTTCCCACTTTTTCTCCCTCCTTCTTTCCCTCTCTCCTTTCTTTCCCTTCTTTTTTCTTTCTTTCTTTCCTCCCCTCCTCCCTTCTCTCCATACACGCCACCTTTCTTTCCCAGTGACAAAACAGAGGGCCACTTCACCTAGCAACAGCCTTTGTGGTACAAACAGACAAACATACGTTCTTTCACATTTTTTATATATTGAGAGATTTATTTATATTGCACCTTTCCCCACCATGGGGACTCAAAGTGGCTGTATATGTGCATGGATAAATATATACATACAAGTATGTGTATGGAAATATATTGTGACAAAAAAGGAGACAAAAGTGAGAAAGAGATAATATCTCCTGCATCATTTACTAACAACAGGCATTGTTCCTGTGAGAGTGAAGTGTGTGTGTGTGTGTGTGTCTATACCCTGTACCTGTAGGCACAGATAAGGAGAGTACCAAAATCATACATAGTTAGACATGTATACAAACAAACACACATGTGCATGGATATATGCATATACACACATGTTCATAGATATATAGATACATACACTGCACCACCAGAGACCCCAGTGGTGCAATGAGTTAAACTGCTGAGCTGCTGAACTTGCTCATCGAAAGGTCGCAGGTTTGAATCTGGGGGGTGCCATGAGCTCCCGCTGTTAGCCCCAGCTTCTGCCAACCTAGTAGTTCAAAAACATGCAAATGTGAGTAGATCAATAGGTCTACTCCTGCAGGAAGGTAACGGCACTCCATGCAGTCATGCCGGCCATATGACCTTGGAGATGTCTATGGACAACGCTGGCTCTTTGGCTTAGAAATGGAGATGAGCACCAACCCCCAGAGTTGGACACGACTGGACTTAAATGTCAAGGGGAAACCTTTACCTAAATGTTCATGGCCACATACGTGCATACATGCATGGATATACAAATGCATGGACATATATATGGGCACACAAGCATGTTCAGGGATACAGTTATATATGTGTGAATAACTATATAAGAGAGACATGTATGGACATGACTATACACATGCATACACATAATTGCATGGTTTTATGGGTGCATACTTACAAGAATATTGATATACTGATATATATGTGTGTGCACACACACACATCAACCTACACCTGTCCAGGGGCCCTTCCACACAACTCTATATCTCAGAGGGAGGGAGGGAGGGATACACACACACATCTGTATATCTGTGTATCTATACCTATATATATACAGAGGTGTGTGTGTGTGTGTGTGTGTGTGTGTGTGTGTGTGTATCCCTCCCTCCCTTTCTCTCTCTCCCTCCCCCCCCTTTCTCTCCTTGGGATATAGGGCTGAGTGGAAGGGCCCCTGGACAGGTATAAATATACAGATATACAGATATGTGTGTGTGTATCCCTCCCTCTCTCTCCCTCTCCCTCTCCCTCTCTCTCTGGGATATAGGGCTGTGTGGCAGGGCCCTTGGACAAGTATAGATATACAGATACACACATATATATACATCTGTATATACATCTGTATATAGAATCATAGAATCAAAGAGTTGGAAGAGACCTCATGGGCCATCCAGTCCAACCCCCTGCCAAGAAGCAGGAATATTGCATTCAAAGCATCCCTGACAGATGGCCATCCAGCCTCTGTTTAAAAGCTTCCAAAGAAGGAGCCTCCACCACACTCCGGGGCAGAGAGTTCCACTGCTGAACGGCTCTCACAGTCAGGAAGTTCTTCCTCATGTTCAGATGGAATCTCCTTTCTTGTAGTTTGAAGCCATTGTTCCGTGTCCTAGTCTCCAGGGAAGCAGAAAACAAGCTTGCTCCCTCATCCCTGAGACTTCTTCTCACATATTTATACATGGCTATCATGTCTCCTCTCAGCCTTCTCTTCTTGAGGCTAAACATGCCCAGCCTTAAGCTGCTCCTCATAGGGCTTGTTCTCCAGACCCTTGATCATTTTAGTCGCCCGCCTCTGGACACATTCCAGCTTGTCAATATCTCTCTTGAATTGTGGTGCCCAGAATTGGACACAATATTCCAGATGTGGTCTAACCAAAGAATAGAGGGGTAGCATTACTTCCTTAGATCTAGACACTATGCTCCTATTGATGCAGGCCAAAAATGTATATACATCTGTATATACATCTGTATATACCTGTCCAGGGGCCCTTCCACACAGCCCTATATCCCAGGGGAAAAAACACACACACACACACATTCATACACACACACACACACTTGCTTCTTGGCCGGGGGTTGGACTGGATGGCCCATGAGGTCTCTTCCAACTCTTTGTTTTTATGATTCTATACAAATACTACATATACACTCTCACTACTATCTATCTATCTATCTATCTATCTATCTATCTATCTATCTTTCTATCTATCTATCTATCTATCTATCTATCTATCTATCTATCTATCTATCTCTCTATCCATCTATCTACCTATCGATCTACCTACCCACCCACTCACCCATCTCTTTATCTCTCTATGCCGACATGCCTCTATATGGCCATACCTCCATGTGTGTGCATAGACCTATATCTAGGTAGGTATGGATGCATGGGTACCCCCCCTCTTTGGGCCTATGGGTGTGGGGGTCTGGACCCTCCCCATTTCCTCCAGGAAGGTCGCTTGTCGCCGGCGGATGGCGCAAGAGAGAGCCTTTCTCCCCCACTTTTTGCTCCCCTGGGATGCTTGTGCCAGCAAAGGAGGGGAGCCAGCTTGGGCTGTCAAGGGCTCTTCTCCCCCCTCTCCTCCTCCTCCTCCTCCTCCTCCTGGGTGGGCGGGGGCCCTGTTCCTCCCCAAGGGCTGGGAGGGAGGCGCTGGGAGCCGGCCTCCTGCCCTTCCTCAATCCCTCTCTCTTTTACTTTCCACACGACGCCCGGCTCCGGACTGGCACCGAATTAAACCCTCAAACAACCCAAAGAAAGCGACTCTTGGAGGAGACTCTGGATGGTTCTCTTCTCTTGGAAGGGAAGGAAAGCCAGGTGGGTTCCACTCTTTCTAGGCAGGTTTCATTTTTGTTGTTTGGAGAAGGACAATGGGACACCAGAAGGGTCTTAGCTGTTCTATTGAAGAAGGGAAAAAAGACACTTTGGGAGATCAATAAAGGAAAACAGTTGAGTTTCTCTCTCCTTTTTTGAAGGGAAGGGAAGTGGGTCTGCCTTTTCTAAACCAGTTGGGTTTCACTTTCCTGAAAGGAAAGCAACAACATCAGGGAGTGTTTCACTTTTCCTGCAGAGAAGACAAACCCGAGAGGGAAATCCACGAGTGTTTTTAAGTGATTTGTGTGTTGAGCAATGTTGTAACACGCCTGGAGTTGTGAAAATTAAATTATTATTATTATTATTATTATTATTATTATTATTATTATTATTATGTGATTTTGTGATACGAAATCCAGCATATATATATCTCGTTTGCTGTAATATACTGTTTTTGTGTATATCATATATAATAATATCAGTATATCAGTATAATAATAGTAGTAATAATAATAATAATAATAATAATATAAAATGATAATAGAACAACAATATAATAATAATAATAATATAAAATGATAATATAACAACAATATAATAAAAATAATAATTTTGTGATTTTGTGATATGAAATCCAGCATATCTCTCGTTTGCTGCGACATACTGTGTTTTTGTGTCAGTAAAATAATAATAATATAATAAATAATAAGATAAAATGATAATATAACAACAATATAATAAGATAAAATAATATAATAATAATTTTGTGATACAAAATCCAGGATATATATCTTGTTTGCTGTGACATACTGTGTTTTTGTGTCGGTAAAATAATAATAATATAATATATAATACTATCTTAATGTAATAAGATAAAATAATAATATAACAACAATGTAATATAATAATAATAATAATAATAATAATAATTTTGTGATACGAAATCCAGCATATATATCACGTTTGCTGTGACATACTGTGTTTTTGTGTCAGTAAAATAATAATAATAATAATAATAATAATAATAATAATAATAAGATAAAATGATAATAGAACAACAATATAATATTATAATAATAATAATTTTGTGATACGAAATCCAGCTTCTACATCTCGTTTGCTGCGACATACTGTGTTTTTCTGTCAGTAAAATAATAATAATACAATAAATAATAAGATAAAATGATAATATAACAACAATATAATAAGATAAAATAATATAATAATAATTTTGTGATACAAAATCCAGGATATATATCTTGTTTGCTGTGACATACTGTGTTTTTGTGTCGGTAAAATAATAATAATATAATATATAATACTATCTTAATGTAATAAGATAAAATAATAATATAACAACAATGTAATATAATAATAATAATAATAATAATAATAATAATAATAATAATAATTTTGTGATACGAAATCCAGCATATATATCACGTTTGCTGTGACATACTGTGTTTTTGTGTCAGTAAAATAATAATAATAATAATAATAATAATAATAATAATAAGATAAAATGATAATAGAACAACAATATAATATAATAATAATAATAATTTTGTGATACGAAATCCAGCTTCTACATCTCGTTTGCTGCGACATACTGTGTTTTTCTGTCAGTAAAATAATAATAATACAATAAATAATAAGATAAAATGATAATATAACAACAATATAATAATAAGATAAAATATAATAATAATTTTGTGATACGAAATCCAGCATATAGATCTCGTTTGCTGTGACATACTGTTTTTGTGTCAGTATAATAATAGTAATAATAATAATATAAAATGATAATAGATCAACAATATAATAATACTAATATAATAATAATAATTTTGTGATACGAAATCCAGCATATATCTCTTGTTTGCTGTGACATACTGTGTTTTTGTGTCAGTAAAATAATGATATAATAAATAATAAGTTAATAAGATTAAATGATAATATAACAATATAATAATAAGATAAAAGATAATAATTTTGTGATACGAAATCCAGCATATATAGTTTGCTGTGACATACTGCGTTTTTATGTCAGTAAAAGAATACTATAATATATAATACTATAATAATGTAATGAGATAAAATGATAATATAACAACAACAATAATCTAATCTAATAATAATAATAATAATTTTGTGATATGAAATTCAGCATATGCATCTTGTCTGCTGTGTGGCATACTGTGTTTTTGTCAATAAAATAATAATAATAATATAACAACAATATAGTAATATAATAAGATAAAATAATATAATAATATTAATTTTGTGATACGAAATCCAGCATATATATCTCGTTTGCTGTGACATAATGTGTTTTGTATCTGTATAATAATAATAATAATAATAATAATAATAATAATAATAATATAAATAATAATATAGTAAGATAAAATGGTAATACAACAACAATATAATAAGATAAGATAAAATAATATAATAATAATAATTTTGTGATACGAAATCCAGCTTATATATCTCGTTTGCTGTGACATACTGTGTTTTTGTGTCAGTAAAATAATAATAATAAATAATAATAAATAATAAATAAAAAGATAGAATGATAATATAACAGCAGCAACAACAATAATATAATATAATAATAATAATAATAATAATAATAATAATAATAATAATAATAATACTTGCCTTAAAGGTTATGCTAAACTAAAGACTGGAAGTTAGATTCAAAGGAGATCCCAGAGTCTTCCTTCCACGTTGCTATACTGAAACCAACCAACCTGGCTGCCTCTTAGGGCCCTTCCTAACAATATCAGGACAGATAATGCGCAATATCTGCTTTGGACCGAATTATCTGAGTTCACACTGTCATATAATCCACTTCGGTGTTGATTTTGTACAGCTGTGTATGTAGAAGGGGCCCAAACCGGGTGGGTTTCGTTGCTCTTGGAGGGAAAGGAAATTAATTACATTTCAATTCTTGGACAGAAAGAAAACAAGGTTGGTTTGTTTTTCCTTAAAGGAAAATCATAGGTTTTTTACTTCTCTTTTCGGGAGAAGGAAAACTAGTTGGAGAGGTTTTCCTCCCTTCAAGGGGAGGGAAATCCACCGACTTTCAGCTTGTACAGAAAGAAAATCGTGTCGGTTTAATTTTTCTTGGAAAGAAGGAAAGTCCGTTGAGTTTAACTTCTCTTCCATCGAAGGATCTGTCTTATTTTGGGTGGAAGGAAAATCAACTGGGTCAGACTCTTCTGGAAAAAGAAAAGCCAATCTGAACTTTTCTTGGAGGGAAGAAAAATCAGCCGAGTTTAATCCAGGCCCCTTCTCCACTGCCATAGAAAATCCAGATTATCTGCTTTGAGCAGGATGATATAGCAGTGTGGACTCATATAATCCTGTTCAAAGCATATAATGCGGGTTACATAATTTGATAATTTGGATTATATGGTAGTTTAGAAGGGGACTTCGACAGATGTGAATTCCTTGAGACTGTTGTTAACTTTTTTCAACATTTTCCATATTTTATCTATCTTGATTGGATAGGAAGAGTATCTCTCTCTATCTATCTAATTGTCTGTCTATATATCTAATTATTTATCTAATTGTGTGTATGTGTAATTATCTATCTATCTATCTATCTAATTGTCTGTCTGTATGTCTAATTATCTATCTCTATCTATCTATCTATCTATCTATCTATCTCTCTATCTAATTGTCTGTCTGTATGTCTAATTATGTATCTGTCTGTCTATCTATCTAATTGTCTGTCTATATATCTAATTATGTATCTCTATGTATTTATCTATGTATCTATTTATTTATCTATCTTATTGTCTGTCCGTCTATCTAATTATCTGTCTCTCTGTCTGCCTGCCTTTCTATCTAATTATCTATCTAAAATATTTATGTAATTATATGTCTGTCCGTCTATCTTTCTAATTATCTATCTATCTATCTATCTATCTATATCTAATTGTTTGTGTGTGTGTCTAATTTTCTTTCTGATTATCTGTATGTCTGTCTAATTATCTGTCTAAATATTGATGTAATTATATTTCTGTCCGTCTATCTTTCTGTCTATCTAATTATCTATCTTTCTATCTATCTATCTATCTATCTATCTATCTATCTATCTATCTATAATTGTTTGCGTGTCTATCTAATTTTCTTTCTAATTGTCTGTATGTCTATCGAAATATTTATGTAATTATCTGTCTGTCCATCTTATTATCTATCTAATTATCTATCTATATCTAATTGTCTGTGTGCCTGTCTATCTAATTTTTTTTCCAATTGTCTGTATGTCTGTCTAATTATCTATGTATCTAATTGCCTCTGTCTGTCGTGTCTCTATCTATCTGTATCTATCTATCTATCTATCTATCTATCTATCTATCTATCTATCTATCTATCTATCTATCTATCTATCTATCTATCATCATCTATCTATCTATCTATCTATCTATCTATCATCTATCTATCTATCTATCTATCTATCTATCTATCTATCTATCTATCTATCTATCTATCTATCTATCTATCTATCTATCTAGCTCTCTCTCTTATCTATCTATCTATCTATCTATCTATCTATCTATCTATCTATCTATCTATCTATCTATCTATCTATCTATCTATCTATCTATCTATCTATCTATCTATCTATCTATCTATCTATCTATCTATCTATATCTATTTCTCTTCTCCAAAGTGTTTCTCCTTCTTTCTTTTGCGCCCCAACTAACATTTCCACCCGTCGCTTGTTGATCTCGATCCAGTTTTGGATCCAAACCATTAAATCTCTCCATTTTTCCCTCGTGGCTTCAATGAGTTTACTCTTCAGTAGACCCTTGGACCGGTAACTCGTTACTGCGACGATTTTGCGAGGAAATCGGGCTGGGAATCTGTGATTTGAGCGGACTCTTTGCTTGCTTTGGATGGAGGCCACCAACTTCGGCATAAGTTGGAGCTCCTTCTTCTCCCTTCGATTCTCTTCTTTGTGGGTTGAAAACAATAGGAGAAGGGAA